AACACGGTCATGTAAACTCTAAGAAGTCCTGAAATTCGATTTTTGTCTTGGAAAAGTTGTGAATGTGATGCACAATCAAAAACACGATCGCGGGGTGAAAGACACGGTCGTGTAAATCATAAAATAAGCGTTTCGGACGCAAACTCTTCAGTTTCAGCAAATCTAACCCAAGTTCCAATTTCCTCAGGTATTTTAGCTCCATTAAGTTCGAAATATGCATGCAAGCTGCTTCCAAATCACTGCTCCACTCGAAATATCTGAAAATGACATAAAAACATGAGCATGACAGGAATTCTAGAGATGAACATGAGCTGAACATTATTTAAACTAATGCATATGAAAAAGCATCAAATATAATACAACACAATAATAAAAACTAATATAAAATATTCAAAAAATGACATTTAAAAAATATCTTCAAACTTAAACCTTACTTTCCCTCAAGTAATAAAAAAAAATTAAACGGTGTAAATAGAATAGAAAGATGTAGATGGCATAAAAAGGAACTTCAAATAAAAACATTAAAAAACAAAACTAAAAATTAAGGAAACCAAACACCTCACTTTTTTTTTCACATGATCAGTCTTTTCATCAAGGAAGTTCCAATGAAATCACTATCTAGACAACAATTTCAATATCTTTTATGTATCCTAGATTTCCAAGAAAGATGCTCAACGGTGTAAATTGATAAACCAACCATAAATTTTATTTAAATTCTATACCTTAATTTACTTTGCTCACAAAAATAGCATATTTAAGAATTTTACGTCTTTTTGACTCATTCATAAAAACCAAACTTAACCTATCCTTAGAGACCTTGTCAAGTCAAGCTAATAAGCCCTCTAAATAAACAATCCCAAACACCCCCTAAGATTGACTAGATTATCTTATTCTTTACCTAAAAAATTTATTTCACTAGATTATCTTATTCTTTACCTAAAAAATTTATTTCACTGAATTAAAAAGAAAAAAGAAAAGTATTTTGCTATAACTAGAGCCAAGTACAGTAGTTCTTGTTTAACCATATAGTTTCCTAGTTTATTATAGGAAAACATTTAAACTAAAAAAATACTTGGAATAAAGTTGTCATTTCACAAGATAAACCAACATGAACTCGTGGTACGATTCCCCCCTTCATTGAACAATGAGTTGTACCCAAAGCATTAATGTTGTACTACATGTCGGTAGGTATGTAGTAATTCACACAAACAGAGTGATTATTCAACATCCGAAAAGGGCTTATGAACTTGATACTAACTAATAAACCCTCCAAATGATCCAACAATAATGTCCAACTCAGCGGCTGTTGCCTTTTTTTACTACTATTAAGTCCTTATAGTTAAAGTCCTTGAATGGTAACCATATTTATATGAGAAAAATGTTCTATATATAATGTTTGTTTCTTTTCTGTTGTAAATAAACAATATGAAAGAGACTAAATGACTAGTTTAGTTTTATATTTGAGCAAATAAATTTTACAAAAGACTAAATGACTAGTTTACTTTTACATTCCAAAAAACAAATTTCACAGCATTCATTGTTTTTAACGACATTAATCAAAGTTAACATAAGAGTTGAAAAAGAAAGAAAAAAAAAAAAAAAAAAAAAGAAGATAAGTAGATTGAATGTTAAAAGGAAGGTTGTTTGATAATTGTTGTTGAGTTAAAATCTAATTAAGTCAAATCCAACCTTACATTTTGTCTTGCCCAATAAGAGACATATTAGAAGTTATATGAACACATCTATAACGGAATCAAAAGATTTTAATTGTGATACCAAACAGTTTGACTGAGTCAAACGCAACCTGTTATTACCAGACTTAGTAATAAGAATATCAAATAGCCCCTAGTAGCTTAATGCATTGAGCAAGATTTTTTAGCTTAACCCATTAAGTTATTTTGAACCGTTTAAGTAATTAAAAAACAATCATGTATAGCAAAGTTTTGGTAAAGTAAGAACACCGTACTATGTGAAATTACAGGGTTACCCCTATTGAATCTTAACCGAGCTAAAGAATTAGCATCTTAATGAATCAAAATAGATAGTAGATGCTACTGGAAAGCAATGGCAACAGGAAGAGAAATTGATGTAGTACCCAACTGAATCTTTAATTATTTTTCACCTCTTATAATTCTGCCACTAAAAAATGAGTTACAGTTTTAGTCCCTAATTATAGCTAACTTTTACATTTTTAGTCCTTAATTGAGGTTCTTGTAACATTTTTAGTCCCTTTTCCAAGTAAAATTACTATTTTTGTACTTAAATATAGCTTATTTTTGCAATTTTGGTCCTAGAAAGTTTTCTCTTGCAATTTTGGTCATTGTTAGAGGCTTTTGTAACCTAATTTATGTTCCGATTGAAATGATTACTTTTAGTTCCTGAATATAGCTGATTTTTGTAATTATGGACAGAAAATATATAGCCATTTACTTGCAATAGGAACCAAAATTGTTACAAAAACGTCAAATACATACCTAATTTGCAAGAGAAATTTGGGATGAAAAATGAAAAAATCAACCATACTCAGGCAAAAAAAATGTAATTTATTCTTCAATAACCAACCAAATGAACCAATAACTGAACTTTTTTCAAAAATTAAATAAATAAATAATGGAATGCAGCCATGCAGGGAAGTAGTATATGAAATTAATTGTTAATAGTATTCATATAGCAAAAAGCAACCATATAGATAAGATAAAAACATCATTTCCATATGATAAAAGATCCAACTTAACTCTATGAAAACAGAAAGTACGAGAAGCCAATGTCATAGAACATGTGGAAATTGCCAGTTATACAACGTTTGCAGTTACCTTGTTCATGGTACATGGGTCCACTCAACTACTCTTATATATTAGAATCAAATAACACAGGGAAATTTTAATGATTGGTCGATTTCCCGAAACATATATGTGAATCCAGCAAAGTTTTGGTCAGTTTTTAACATTATTGTCTATGGGATTTGATGTGTTTCAGCTTCAGTCCCCACATAGTACAGATATTTCATAATGTGTGAATATAAACATTATAAGGAATAAATAGGAGAATAGTACATACCTATAGTTTTAAACTACGTACAAAGATGTGAAACCACCACACATTAGCTCATGGCCCCTACTTTTTCTTATTGACGGAATTACCCTTACCCATGAACTAGTGAAAATCCAATCAGTACGTTATTTATTTACAAATTGTTTATTCGACAAATAAAAGGACTAATTCTCCATTTGAGATTGTCCATTTCAATGTTTGGGGTCCTTATCGTGTGTTGTCTCTGGATTCATATATTTTTGTAACTTTTGTTTTGTTTACCTATTTAAGGGGTTGTTTTATTACTTTATTGTTGATGATTGAGTTTGAGTGAGTCAAGGCCCGATTGAGTCTGGCCCAATCTCTTATTAGACCAAGTAGGAGGCATATCAGAGAAGCTTCTAATTGTGATATCAAATAGTCTGAGTGGAGACATATAGTATGACTCAATCAGAGACGTCTAATTGTGATATCAAACAGTCTCGGTGCATTTTGTGTTAGACTCGATTTAAGATTATTGTTTTAACTTTGAGAAGTTATAAATTTATAATGCATAAGAATTCTCCTAAGACTATGATTTCAATGACATTTTTTATTAATCATCTTGTGTCGATACAGATTCCCAAAAATGGAGCAGGTGAAAGACAAAACAGACATCTTAAAACTACTTCTTTTTCATATGAAAGTTTGGAAACAATTTTGGGCAAATGCAATCTCCACAATAGGTTTCTAGACCAACCGAATGCCTAATATATTCTAAATGGTAAATGTCCTAAGCGTATCTTGTTTCCCACAAGATCATTGTTTCATACTAAACCTCGGATTTTCATAGCACTTGTTTTGTTCATGGTGTTTGACCCCATCTTACCACGTTAGACTTCAAGTCACTTATATGTATCTTTCAAGGATAGGTTATCCTTGATTCGTTGTTATTCTACTACTCTACTCCTAAAGTTGTGGGAATGATGATTTGTTACTCTATAGTATTCTACCTTTTGACATTTCCTATTTTAGCTCCTCCTATTCCATTGTTTTCAAAACCGCATATTCACAAAGTTTGTTCTAGGCAAGAGTGGCCTCTTTCGCCATGTCCTCATTGCTACATCTCATCAAACCCTCTTCCTTCATGACTAGTTCCTTCCATCACCATCAAATCCCATGACTAGTAATTTTGATCTTCTTAATGGAATTTATAAAGGTAAAGGAAGATGTACTTATCCTATTTCATAACCCAACTCTTCATCATCTTGTTGTTTTGTGGAACCATTTACTCTACCACAATCCATAAAACTGTTTCTAAAGTCGTGTCACATTTGGGCCTACAAGCTGCAATAGTAGAAGAAATGAATGCTTTAGATAGCAATGATACATGAAATCTAGTGGTGTAGATTATTCACAGACACTTCCTCTTGTGGCCGAATTAACTAGGTTTGTTTTTTTGTTTGCTTGTTTTTATGGTTGCAACATACAATTAATATTTACATCATTTAGATATCAAAAATGTCTTCCAACATGGTGATCTTTAGGAAGATGTGTACATGGAGCAACCACTTATTGTAGGGAGAGTATTTACAAAGATGTCATCTTCACAAATCTCGATACAATTTTTTTTTAAAGTCCACGACCTTACTTTGGGAACTTTAGTTGAGCCATAAAAAGATTTTCTATGATAGATAATAAGTGAACTCACTAGATATTCCATTCTAGATTGGTCTCATCATTATTGTCGTTTATGTTGATTATATAGTTATTACAAGAACAACCAATATGCGTGACATGAAATATTTTTATAAACTTCACAACACACCCAGAATATAAAATCAACCACAATTTGAAACAAGGAACTCAAACAAGAACAATATACCAATGTTAAAAAGTATTTCGAATTTTCTATATTGGTATGTTATATAAAAATAAACAAAGAAACAAGGTGTTTTATTTATTAAACACATATTAAACAATCATTATATTTATCAGCAACTATGAACTATTGAAGAGATGCTCATAAAAATTAGTGTAGATGAATAAACAAAATTTTATAAGCTATTTGCACTATAAGAGCCAAAAATCAAGCAATGTGCACCTAAAAGGCTGCAACTAATCATTGACGCTTGTGTTGATGAGAACGAGAAGTGTAAGTGTCTTCAATATATCGAATTAATGAAATACTGTAATGTGAGGCACTTGAAGAAGCATAGTAAGATGTAACACTGAGTTGAGTGAAATTTGGAAGCCCATACCCTGTGATTTTAATGTAATCAGACTATAGTATTGTCCAAAAAATACGTTCAGTAACTTGTATTGAAAATACTTTTAGATATTCTCAAATATAAAAACCTAAAAATAATAATTATACTATGATAGAAGCTATATCAAGTCATTTAAAATTTGAAGGCATACCTCCAAATGCAGCACTGGCAGCAGAAAACATAAGCAATGGAGGAATCTGCCAAAACAGGAGATTTAAGAAAGTGGTAAAAGATTAATATTAAAACACAAGAAAGTTACAATTAAGTGAAAAAATTAAATGAAGGTGATAGAAATAAACAGTTCCGGAAATACCCCGATGAGAAACGGAAGTTACGGAAGCCATTTTGGTCCCTTGACATGCTTCTGAATATATGGTATTCCTGAAATGAATAAATGATTACAAGTTAAAGCATATATCTAATTTAAAGTTTAAACTTTAAACAACTCCCACCTTGATTCAGACTAAATATAAACATACCCGTGTGGCCGTGTTTAAACCATAAAAGGCACTAAGCATTCCACCTATACCACAGCCTGCCTATAGGATACACAAAAGAATTGAAATTACTAAATTAGTCATTTTGCCAAAAGGATTAGGTAAAGCATGCTTGAACATAAATCAATCAAAATCTTCCCAAAAACCAGATGTCAATTGCTTAATTGTGAACCTAAAATCGAGATAGAATCTTCAAACTTCAAACCCTATTGATTCAGTGTTCAGTTCAATAAATCTGTTATGTGTAATAGTAAGTAGCAATTTTGGTTATAGTTCAGATTGTGCCAAAAACGAGTGAGAAACTTCGTTTCACATGTTAATTACGAATGATAAATTAATCTACCAGCTTAACCTGATAGAACCAGTACTGAATTTCAACACACACACATACAGATCCTAAATAACACAGCTAAACAGATAGTAAGAATTACTGGAGGGAAAATTAACAGGAGTAGATAGAGAAAAGAGCATTTCTTACTACTGAAGTGGCGTCGTGTAGAACTGGAGTAATAGTCCATTCTCCTTTATCCTACAGTACCTCCAACAACACCAAGCGCAAAACAATCATTCAATCTAATCAGAAATAGTGAATGATTCGAACAAATAAATGAAGAAGAAGAAGAAACAACATACCGAGGTTGATTTCAAAGAAGAGAGACAACGAGGGCAGCGAGGGGTACCGAGACCTGGTTTAATGGTAGGTTCGTGGTATAGATTCCCCGTTCGTAGCTTCTCTTCATACACCTCCCGAGTCCCCATCACTCGTTCTGCAGTTCACGCACATTCGTAGAAGGAACAACTACGCCGATCGAGTCAACAACAACAACCCAGACCTTGTTGCATTCTTACATTGGGCTTTTGGACCCGATTTACATGGGCTTTAATCGACATCATATTTGATATTAGATGCTGTATGCATAGATTGTGGGCCACTGGGCCAAAATGTATTCTTGATGTCAAAAAGTCTCGTAGGAACCCATTCCCGTAGGGTCCCGTCCCGTTTTGGGGAATTTTTTTGAAAAAATCGGAGGCGGGGACGAGAGCGGGGGCAAGGTTAACCCCATTTTAATTTCGGGGACGGGGGCGGGGGCGGGGTTAGGCAATCCTATCCCGAAACCCCCATGGAGGCATCTTTAAAATGTTTGTGTTATTTGTTGATGTAGGGTTCTTATGACAAGTATGTATCTGATTTATATTGTATGTGCTTTGTAGATGGGGTATTGTGGGTGATCAATTATTGTTGTGTATATGATTTATATTGTATGGGTTTTCTAGACGGGGCGTTGTGAGTCAGTTAGAAGTTGTTGGATAGTCATTGTAGAAAACAAGCAATATAATTTATTTTGTTATTTGTATTAGTAACATAAATATATCTTTCTATTTGTCATACCAATTTAGTCGAATTTTCCAATAATAAGAATGTATATACCTATAATTGTAGCATATTTATATTCTCTACTTATGATATCAGAGCTATGTGAGTATTGGTGTATGGGACATCAACATATGCAAAAGATGGATATTTTAGAATGAGTGAAATTGTAACGATAGATGCCCTAATAACGTTCGTAGAAAGTGTCATTCATTTCAGTGAAGAGTATCTCAGAAGGGTCAATGAAGTCGATTTGGCAAGACTACTTCATGTTGGGGAAGAACGTGGAGTTCAAATATGATAGAAATCATTCATTGTATGCATTATACATGGAAAATTTGCCCCATTGCTTGGGTTGAACAATAGGCAAGCAAAAACGATAGACCAATAAGCATCTTAAAAGTTATTGCATCATATAACTTATGGATGTGACATGCATTCTTTGAAACTACATGTACGTGTAATGATATTAATGTCATTTATCGGTCTCCTCTTTTTGATTATGTCTTGACAGGTCGAGCACCAAATATGAGTTACATCCTGAATGATCGGGACAATACTATGGCATATTATCTCATTGATTGCATATATTCTCATGGGTTGCGAGGGGCAAATCCAATGTGTTAGGACGGGGGACACATGTCCCCAATGCATTTTTGTAAACCAATGTTTTTTATTATAGGATTTAGACTGTATTATAAAAGTTATACATGAGGCCCCTAATGATTTGGATAACTTTTGTTTGGTAATGACTAATTAAAGTTAGAAACTTCAGTCGATATTAATGGCAGAATATGCCAACTAAGAGAAGCCAAAACGGAGAAGAAGCTGTAGAAGGGTTGCTCTTATTGAATTTTGTATACTTGGGCCAAGGTCATATATAAGTCTACAAGTAAAAACAATTGATTTTTATTGTAATTACATCAAACCCATCCGAAGAAACATTTGATTTTTATTTTTATTGCATTTAGTTGAACGAGTTTATATTAACATTAATATTAATCAATTTATTTGAATATTTAAATGGTCTAAAAATAAAGTTTAGTCTTGAACATTTTTGTTTAAAAGTCTTTGTAAAATTTATTTTTGAAAGGTTTTATTAATTACAATAAACACTCTTGTCAATTTGTTGAGAGTTAAGTGATCAAACATATCATTCGGGATAAAATATAAACACTTAGGGTGTGATCCAACGGTTTTGCACCGACCCGTTTATTTTTACAATTTAACAGACCCAATGCCCCCAATAGGGAAAATCCCTAGATCTACCACTGTTGGTTGCCTTAGGCAAGTCAATAACTTCCTCCAACTTCGGAAACACAAGGTGTTCGTTGAACATCAAGTGGTCGTCTAAAAAGATGTTGACGAGCATTTGGAGTTTTATAAAGTTTGTTTTTCATTTCTTTGACACCCATGTCTTTCTGTGAGACAATGATATGATGAGAAAATTATGATTATATGTATCATCATTTATAATATGATGGTTGAGGATGGATGCTATACATACATTCACTATTATGATTTATCCAAATTTCTAAATAACAGACCTATAAACCGACATCGAAGAACCTTTACTGAAGACGAGAAACAAATTTTTCAATATTCTACTCAACGAATTGCAAACCTATCTAGTTATATGACCAATATGACATAACTTCGCAATAGAGAAGTTTATAATAATCTAAAAACGATTTAATTGAACGTATATAGAAAAATTTTAGCATTTATAAATAATTATGTAGTTTGCATCTTCCTTATTTGTAATCTTGTATTTCACGTTACGATTGTAACTTGGTTTATATATTTTATTAAGTTTTTTTGATTAATGTAAAATATTTTTATTTCGTTTTATATTTAAAATAAATAATATATATTTCGAACTAAATGAGTTACTTTTAATTTTTTAAATCATATTTAATAAAATAAAAATCAATCATAAAGTTTATTTATTTAATAAAAATTGGTTAGAATTGGGTTGATAATGGATGTGAAGATTTTGGGTTTAATTGATTTATATAGGTGGATGAAGAAAAAATAGTTTTTTAATAGATATTTAGTTGATTTTGATTGTGAATGAAAGTAGTCCTCGTATCAATGTAACATGTGTTACATTCTTCTTCTTCTTCTTCTTTGTCATTTAAAGAGAACTAGAGGGGAATCATGCGCGCCGTTGGCGCTGTGTTTGTTTTTTTCCTTATTTAAAGCTGTACGAAATGGTAGAACATAATATAATATTAATCAAAATATATTACATATACAGAAGGGGTTTTCATATGACAAACAAATCATTGAAAGTATGTTGCTATTTAGTGTATTTTACCCTAGAAAAGAACCCAAAAAGTAAAAATGTTTTGAGATGATTTACCATTTGTTGCAAGCCACGACCAGAAGAAACAATATCTACGGAACCACCGTATGCTGCACCAGATCATAACCCCAATTTTATAATTTATACACAGCAGAGCACAGCAGTGGGCAAAGGGTATTTCAGTCATTTACATAAATGAGAGAATGCCAACCGGCATACGATTTTTCCAAAACATATTGTCGGTTATTGGTAAAAAATCAAAACAAATTTAAAAAAACAGAAAAATGTGGAAAGGCAAACTATATTGCTATGTTAGTGCATTTAACACCTAAAAACGAAAAATGCATGTAATGGTGATGTGGTATTTTTTGGTAAAAAACATAGAAATGTATAGAGGCAGGGATGCCGTTGGTGCTACTTTGAATAATGTTTGGAAACAGAAAGCTGAAAATAATTTCTACATTTAATGAGACAATGAAAATTTAAAAAAAAACATTTAGTCAGTAAATAATGGAAAATTAAGAAAATACGAAGAACAAAATGGTCCATTCCATTCCATCTCGCAACGGAATGAACAGTTCCATTCCTTCGTTGAATATTTGAAGCAGGAATCTCAAGTAATTCCATTCCTTCCTTGAACAATTCCTTGAAAAACGCATGTATGGCATCCGTTACGAATTGCAAACATTAAAAATGACAGTTTTCACTATTTTTAACTATTATTTTTGCATCAATTAAATACAAAAAGTCAACAAAACTTATAATATTAGTTTTTGACAGCACAAAAACGTACCATGCAGCCAACTTTAAACAGTCGTAACTTTCACATGCGATCTCCAAATAACTTGAATCAAGTTGCTGCACCTTCCTCTCGCATTCGACTGCATGTTTGAGTCAAGAATGAACTGATTTGGAAATATATAACTTGAGTTATGCGGCTGTAAAGGTGTCAACTAACTATTTTAAATTTCCACCCTAAGAAAATTTTTCCATTTCCAGCAGAAAGCAATGATAACATTAGATATAAACAACCACAAACACAAATGAAAATGAAATATATATATATATATATATATATATATATATATATATATATATATATATATCAAAAGGTAGTTTATCTGGGTTAGGTACTGAATGCATTACCTTCAAAGCATTTGAAAATTTCATTATTTTCCTTCAATAAGTCAATCACGTACCGCACTTTCACGCCATTCTATGTCTCATAAGCCATTTCAAGCATAGAAAACTCAAAACGAAATGTTTTACTTTCGAATATGTCACCAGAAACATCCAATTCATGAACCTCAGAAGAAATGGTAATAAGATAGTAAATTAGTAATGATGTTGAATTGGCAATTAGCAATGAAAAAAACAACATAAAAGTTGTAATTTCAGCAAAAACATGTAAAAGTTAGTCTGTAAATAGATGAACTTACATTATCATTATGTTCAACCTTCTTTCCTTACACCACGTCTACAAAACTCTGCAAAAGGGTTAAATTTTTTATGAATAAAAGATTGATGTTAAAAGCTGGAAAAAAAATCTAGCCGCTTATATGGAATGTGGCGATCAGTTGAAGACTCTCATTAGCATGTGAACAATAAATTATAGTGAATTAGCCTAAATAATTTGGAGAATATGATAAAATATACATTAACGCGGTACATTTTATAGTATTTTTTAAGCCAAATGATACAGAGGCCTATGTGGTTGTAATTGGATATATAATAATTTATTGTATCTTTCATGTACTGTTTTATAAAAAATGACTACATATAAAAAGTTAACTTTTAACATAAATAGAAAGGCTCTAAAGTGACATATTAATTACCAAGTTTTGTTAAAGTAGATGAGTGTTTTTTCCTTTCATACCCTGTAATCGAACTTTATAGCCAACCTGTGAAAAAGACAAAAATTGTTGCTTATAAAGCCTTTCTTTAAGCAATAAAAACTAAGTGAAGAGTAAAGATTAAAGAAAAGCCTTACTGATTCACCAAGAGGCCCTCCCCTTTCAGAAGAAATTCTTTCTGCAACAGCCATGGCAAAGATTCTCCGTGGTTGTGTACACAGTACATTACAGAATGCCCTACGAGCAGATTCTATCTCAGATTTCAATATGTATTATGGAAGTTTAGTGGTTATCCCACATCCAGTCTCTCCAGATATGATAATAACTTGATTCTGTGCAATTGCTTGAAGGAGTCTTTCTGTCCCACATCCAGTCTCTCCAGATATGATAATAACTTGATTATGTGCAATTGCTTGAAGGAGTCTTTCTTTCTCTTGAAATACAGGAAGAGACATACGTACTTGTAGCATTTTCTTGCCTTCTGGTGAGTCCTGAAGATACAAATAACAATTGACGATTCAAATTTTGTTCAATAACGTGAAAGTGTAGAGATAATTCAAGAGCTGTTAAGAAGTTGTATTCAATATATACCTCCCAAGATCTTTGCATATTTCTCATCTGTAAACTACAGCTTTGAAGAACCTTTTCCATAAGAGACCCATCTACTAATGACTCTGGATTACCATTACTACCCTTGTTTGCCAGCTCAGCATGATGACAAGATTCACCCGCGACATCTCCAGTATTCAATTGCATTCGGTCAAGATGTTCTTGGAGTAAACCTTCTACTCTTCTTTGCAAGCTTGATGGGATAACTACCTACATTCAGTGGACCATAAAGACTAATATACACATCACCAGTTTCATGCAAGACAATTTCCTGAAAGAAACTGGAAGAAGTCTTACCTATCTTTGGGGACATTTATCATCAAGGTCTGGGCGATAGTTAGGAAGAGGGACCTTGCTTGCAACCACTACTTTTCCATATATTTCACTGAACATGTGATGATTAGTGTGAGAGGAGGGAAAAAAAACATATGTGCATAATCAAGATTCGTAAATATGATTTGAATGGGAAAGAGATAAAAGGATGTAGACAAATAAGTGGAGATTTCTTTTGAGTGTATTATTAAGGAATTTCAGTAGTCATAAATAAAAGATACATTTTATTATAAATTTTTTATAATTAATTTACTTTAACTACCAATATGGGCAATATACTTTATTTATTACCTTATAATAGGTCAAGAAATGTAAATATGTTGCTTTTAGAGGTGAAAAAGAGTAAAGTATGTTGCTATTTTCGGAATTTTTTGTTTTTTTTTATAATACAATTTTGTGAAATTAAATATTAAAGGATACAATGAGAAAGACTTTAGAAAGGTAACGTGTTGACCACCATTCAATATGACTTTGGCATTGTTACCCTTTACTGATAGACCTTATAAATAAAAGTTTATTTATTTGCAAACTGTATTTTATGTTCAATATAAATGAATCAAAAGGAATAATAAATGAAGATCCTGTTTGAAAGATAAACATGAAGGGAATTTGCATACCAGGGATTTTCACTCTGCCATTAATGGTATAACCACCTTCATTCCTGTAAATCAACATAAGCAAACATAATTATAAATATTAAAAAAAATCACTTAAGAGTTATGATCATCATTATACACTATACATACAGTGTATTAAACAGAAAATAGTTATCACATCAGGTGTAGAAAATGAGTCGACAATTGAACATCTGTCTACAAAGGGTGATTTTTTCCATTACCATTGTGATGTTAAAGGTTAAAACAAACCCCTGCACAGCTAAACGTTTATACTAACTACAAAAAGTCGAACCAATTATAGTAGACTTGACAAATTCAAAAATAAAAATAATTTAAATGTACGACTTATAGAAGCAATCACGTTGACCTATAAAAAAAATTTGTCACCTATTTAAAAAAAAGCGAAATATTATGTAGGATTTTGATATTCATATGCATTATGCAGTTTTTTTTGTTTTGATCATATCAACATACAACATACTACCTTTACATTGAGTAGATTTTACAAAAGAAGACTTACCATAACACTTCAACCCCCTCCTGGAAGTATGATTGACATGTGGCCGGAGTAAAACGAACCAATAATGGGAACCCAAATACAGGAACAGGATGTGTGTGATATTTTAACCAATCTTTAGTTTGAGGATCTACATGTAGGATACCCAGATCCAAATTTCTTATGCATGTTTCCAGCAGTTTCATCAAGGTCCTAATTTTGCAATGCTCGGTCCCTCTTCACCTGAATCTATACAAAGTCAATAGACGGGAATCTGGTAGAGAGCTTAACTTTATACTTTTAGGGTCTCCTAACGTATCAATATAAACCTGTAATAACAATGATCTGTTTTCATGAAATTTGCTGACAGTTAAATTTTAACTACATATGTGTATACCTTGGTTAGATGATACCTCATGTCCAGTATAATCTTGAACAGCACCATGGCAGACTCATGTGATATCTCATTGAGACTAATGTAATTTCTATTAATAAAGACTTAATGAAATCAATTAGAATAGACATTAACTTAGACATCTTATTTACAGGAGGAAGTTGGATACTGATACAGACGACATTGAAAATTGATATTTAAAACTGAAAGCAGAAAAGAACAGGCGGAGAACAAACCAGATCAATAGGACAAAGAAGGAAGCCGATGATGGCAGTGGCAGTAGTAGAAACGGCAGCAAAGCACGGGGAACCGACAAACAGAACACACACAAAACACAGACATAGTGGAATGAATTCAGATCGATATTATGTAAGTACTCGAATTTTTGATTTGGGTTTTAGGGTATTTTACCTGACCGGACGACCGCCCGTATCCGGTGTACATAACAACGAAATTCAGGGTTGTAAGCAGGAACTCCATCGTTGTAGATCCCTCTGATGTGAATAGCAGTCGGAATCAAGCTGTTGATAGGACAAAAAAACAAAAAAAAAACAAGTGATGAATAACAAATCAGAGCATGTTTTGAACAGACCTTAGGCTTGAAGCAGAAGAAGAAAGGAAATAAGCCGAAAAGCCCAACTTTTTAGATAGACGAAGAGATGATTTATGTATGTATCGTGACACAACATCTAGAGTTAAAAGATATTGTCTATGACAGATAAATTAATAGCTCATATATACTATACTTCATAAATATTGAAGGGTGGGATGGAGAACAACCTTTGAAGAAACCATAACAGCAGGGCATTGTAGGACTCATTTTTCTGTCATTAGACAATCAAAAATACAGTCAACATATGCTAAATATATTTTGATTCAATAGATATGCGCAAATCAGATGAAGAATTTATAGATATGCACAAATTAGATGAAAAATCTATTCAAAATCAATTAACTCTATCATGCATCGGTCTAACCCTCATCGCAAAAATATTTGATTAGGCTTTGTAAATAGATCAAAAACAGATAAAGTAATTGATCGAAACTGATGTAGGCGATTGTGGGAATTTAGAAAAGAAAATTAATCAAATTCACTAAGGATTGAAAAGATGCTTTACCCGGGGATCTTGTCGACCTCAAATTCGACGTCGTCTGTAATTAAGACGAACATTGACGAAGACCACACGCATCCTGTTACCATATAGATTAGGGTTAAGCGCCATCGATGAGTTTATCGGAGGCCCACATTCGCTGATTTTTGTCGTCGTCTAGGGCTTGGATCACATGAACCACTCCTGGATGCCTTAATCTACCTAATCTGGACGCATCAACTCTGATGATATCGAAGAAGGAGTATGCGGCTGCTCTGGAAAGTCCGGAAATCGCAAGAGACATGGAAGCCTTTTCGGATGAAATTGGGAGGAAATTCATAAGCAAAGAAGAATATAAACAAAACACAAACGAACCTTATTGGAGGAGAAAGGCGGCAACCGACGCTGACGAGAAGAAGATAAGCATGAAACAAAGTAGAAGTTCCAACTGAGGAAAAGAAGATAATCACCAGCAAAACCCGAAATTCCAGTGGCAAAATGTATGTCCTTTTTTCCACACATTTTCTCTTTTAATTAATTTATTTAAACAACTTAATTATATATACTATCAATTCCTAAAAGGCTTAGCTACAGTAAACATTTTTATCTTTCCTGTTTTGCCACCTACGTTTTCTTTTTTCATTTTCAGCCACAATATTACTTCCCTTTTCCCATTCTTCTCTTCCATTCTTATCCGCTTTTCACCGCCTATGTTGCCCACCGCCTATGTTGCCCAATCAATTGCATTTGCTTCCACCGCCTTCTTCTACTACTTTCATCTATAGTTCTACACCACACATGCCACCGTTCATTTGAAGAGTTGTCATCTCTCTCATCGTTATCTGTTTGTCTCTCCCGACATTATTCCGATAACCACCCGCCTAAACCACCCGCAAACACAGTTGGCGCCACACCCCACCCACCTTCAACTTAATGAATCGTCTCCTCCACCCGGTTGTTTCCTGGGCAAAGCCCCCTGCATTTGTATTCCTCTTCAAGCATCAACTGTGCTCTTTCTGTGTTCTCTTCAAGATACGTGTTTCATTCTGAATCGATAGTTTCTATTGGTAGTTGTGGGGTTTTTATTCCATGCTTTCAATTGGTGGTTGTGAGTATCCCTTCATGTTATCCCGATAAGTAGATTTGTGCTGCTTTATGTTCTGACAGCCTGAGAGGCGAGCTTTCATCCATGAGGTTAAAATTTTGGTATCGCCAACAATTTGTCGGTTTCACGTCTGCCAGGTTTGAATACCTAATTGGATCTGATTCCTGTGTGAAGATGAAAAGGGGAAGCGGACGGAGCACTCGACTCAGTCATTAATGACGCTTGAAGATGGGGATCAAACATCCACAAAACTGGTAATACCAATCACAAGTGTTAATTTTTCAGTTTTTCAACGGATTTGTTTAGTCTCCTTGATCATCACTCCTCTTCTCAATCGATTACTTCTTCCACTGTGTTTTCTTGATATCGATTTCAGATTAACTAATTTGTTTGGTTAATTGTGGAAATCCTAGCTATATTAGTTCATTTATAGATGCTTTTAATTTGTAGGTGCAAGGACTGAATTAGATGCTTTGTCACGCTTTAGCTGATTCATTCTGGATATATTGTTGTCTTCGGTGATTCCGAACAGTTGTATATATTCAGTTGATGAATTGATTTTATTGCGGAGTAGTAGGTTTTCTTCATGTTTTATTGTTCTTGAAACTGAATGCTTGGTCCAAAATAAAAATGTTTTTGTAAATTTTGAATTGTAGTTTTTGCAATCAGTGCCTTCCGGGTATATCTCATACACCCTCATAACTTCATAGTTTATAGTTTTTGAACTTTCGTTGAAGAATTCAACTTTGTAACTCTCATTTTAATTATATAAATTTTCAGTCAGGTGTCCCAAGAACTGTGATGGTTTCCTGTGAGAAATATGGGTTCGCATTGAACATCATTGACACACCAGGCTTTGTTAAAGGAGGTTATATCAATGAGCAGGCCATTGACATCATCAAAAGGTGTGTACTCAATATTGAATATTATTTATGAATTATGTCTGAATGGGTTGTTTGTCATTTTGCAAGTTTCTTTTGAACAAAACAATAGATGTTTTTTTATATGTGGATCGATTGGATGCGTATAGAAAGGACAACTTGGATAAACAGATTGTGAAGGCAATAACAGAGAGTTTTGGTATATAAATATGGTAGAAAGGAGTGGTAGT